CGCCCTGCTCAACACGAGTAGTAGTAGTAGTAGTCACACAAAGTGGGAGGTGTGGACCGCCCTGCTCAACACGAGTAGTAGTAGTAGTAGTCACACAAAGTGGGAGGTGTGGACCGCCCTGCTCAACACGAGTAGTGGTAGTAGTAGTCACACACAGTGGGAGGTGTGGACCGCCCTGCTCAACACGAGTAGTAGTAGTAGTAGTCACACAAAGTGGGAGGTGTGGACCGCCCTGCTCAACACGTGTAGTAGTAGTAGTAGTCACACAAAGTGGGAGGTGTGGACCGCCCTGCTCAACACGAGTAGTAGTAGTAGTAGTCACACACAGTGGGAGGTGTGGACCGCCCTGCTCAACACGAGTAGTAGTAGTAGTAGTCACACAAAGTGGGAGGTGTGGACCGCCCTGCTCAACACGACTAGTAGTAGTAGTAGTCACACAAAGTGGGAGGTGTGGACCGCCCTGCTCAACACGAGTAGTAGAAGTAGTAGTCACACACAGTGGGAGGTGTGGACCGCCCTGCTCAACACGAGTAGTAGTAGTAGTAGTCACACACAGTGGGAGGTGTGGACCGCCCTGCTCAACACGAGTAGTAGTAGTAGTAGTCACACAAAGTGGGAGGTGTGGACCGCCCTGCTCAACACGAGTAGTAGTAGTAGTAGTCACACAAAGTGGGAGGTGTGGACCGCCCTGCTCAACACGTGTAGTAGTAGTAGTAGTCACACACAGTGGGAGGTGTGGACCGCCCTGCTCAACACGAGTAGTAGTAGTAGTAGTCACACAAAGTGGGAGGTGTGGACCGCCCTGCTCAACACGTGTAGTAGTAGTAGTAGTCACACACAGTGGGAGGTGTGGACCGCCCTGCTCAACACGAGTAGTAGTAGTAGTAGTCACACACAGTGGGAGGTGTGGACCGCCCTGCTCAACACGAGTAGTAGTAGTAGTAGTCACACACAGTGGGAGGTGTGGACCGCCCTGCTCAACACGAGTAGTAGTAGTAGTCACACAAAGTGGGAGGTGTGGACCGCCCTGCTCAACACGTGTAGTAGTAGTAGTAGTCACACAAAGTGGGAGGTGTGGACCGCCCTGCTCAACACGAGTAGTAGTAGTAGTAGTCACACACAGTGGGAGGTGTGGACCGCCCTGCTCAACACGAGTAGTAGTAGTAGTAGTCACACACAGTGGGAGGTGTGGACCGCCCTGCTCAACACGAGTAGTAGTAGTCACACACAGTGGGAGGTGTGGACCGCCCTGCTCAACACGAGTAGTAGTAGTCACACACAGTGGGAGGTGTGGACCGCCCTGCTCAACACGAGTAGTAGTAGTAGTAGTCACACACAGTGGGAGGTGTGGACCGCCCTGCTCAACACGTGTAGTAGTAGTAGTAGTCACACAAAGTGGGAGGTGTGGACCGCCCTGCTCAACACGAGTAGTAGTAGTCACACACAGTGGGAGGTGTGGACCGCCCTGCTCAACACGTGTAGTAGTAGTAGTAGTCACACACAGTGGGAGGTGTGGACCGCCCTGCTCAACACGAGTAGTAGTAGTAGTAGTCACACACAGTGGGAGGTGTGGACCGCCCTGCTCAACACGAGTAGTAGTAGTAGTAGTCACACACAGTGGGAGGTGTGGACCGCCCTGCTCAACACGAGTAGTAGTAGTAGTCACACAAAGTGGGAGGTGTGGACCGCCCTGCTCAACACGAGTAGTAGTAGTAGTAGTCACACAAAGTGGGAGGTGTGGACCGCCCTGCTCAACACGAGTAGTAGTAGTAGTAGTCACACACAGTGGGAGGTGTGGACCGCCCTGCTCAACACGAGTAGTAGTAGTAGTAGTCACACAAAGTGGGAGGTGTGGACCGCCCTGCTCAACACGAGTAGTAGTAGTAGTAGTCACACAAAGTGGGAGGTGTGGACCGCCCTGCTCAACACGAGTAGTAGTAGTAGTAGTCACACAAAGTGGGAGGTGTGGACCGCCCTGCTCAACACGAGTAGTAGTAGTCACACAAAGTGGGAGGTGTGGACCGCCCTGCTCAACACGTGTAGTAGTAGTAGTAGTCACACAAAGTGGGAGGTGTGGACCGCCCTGCTCAACACGAGTAGTAGTAGTAGTAGTCACACAAAGTGGGAGGTGTGGACCGCCCTGCTCAACACGAGTAGTAGTAGTAGTAGTCACACAAAGTGGGAGGTGTGGACCGCCCTGCTCAACACGAGTAGTGGTAGTAGTAGTCACACACAGTGGGAGGTGTGGACCGCCCTGCTCAACACGAGTAGTAGTAGTAGTAGTCACACAAAGTGGGAGGTGTGGACCGCCCTGCTCAACACGTGTAGTAGTAGTAGTAGTCACACAAAGTGGGAGGTGTGGACCGCCCTGCTCAACACGTGTAGTAGTAGTAGTAGTCACACAAAGTGGGAGGTGTGGACCGCCCTGCTCAACACGAGTAGTAGTAGTAGTAGTCACACACAGTGGGAGGTGTGGACCGCCCTGCTCAACACGTGTAGTAGTAGTAGTAGTCACACAAAGTGGGAGGTGTGGACCGCCCTGCTCAACACGAGTAGTAGTAGTAGTAGTCACACACAGTGGGAGGTGTGGACCGCCCTGCTCAACACGAGTAGTAGTGGTAGTAGTCACACAAAGTGGGAGGTGTGGACCACCCTGCTCAACACGAGTAGTAGTGGTAGTAGTCACACAAAGTGGGAGGTGTGGACCGCCCTGCTCAACACGAGTAGTAGTAGTAGTAGTCACACAAAGTGGGAGGTGTGGACCGCCCTGCTCAACACGAGTAGTAGTAGTCACACACAGTGGGAGGTGTGGACCGCCCTGCTCAACACGAGTAGTAGTAGTAGTAGTCACACAAAGTGGGAGGTGTGGACCGCCCTGCTCAACACGAGTAGTAGTAGTCACACACAGTGGGAGGTGTGGACCGCCCTGCTCAACACGTGTAGTGGTAGTAGTAGTCACACAAAGTGGGAGGTGTGGACCGCCCTGCTCAACACGAGTAGTAGTAGTAGTAGTCACACAAAGTGGGAGGTGTGGACCGCCCTGCTCAACACGAGTAGTAGTAGTCACACACAGTGGGAGGTGTGGACCGCCCTGCTCAACACGAGTAGTAGTAGTAGTAGTCACACAAAGTGGGAGGTGTGGACCGCCCTGCTCAACACGAGTAGTAGTAGTCACACACAGTGGGAGGTGTGGACCGCCCTGCTCAACACGTGTAGTGGTAGTAGTAGTCACACACAGTGGGAGGTGTGGACCGCCCTGCTCAACACGTGTAGTGGTAGTAGTAGTCACACACAGTGGGAGGTGTGGACCGCCCTGCTCAACACGAGTAGTAGTAGTCACACAAAGTGGGAGGTGTGGACCGCCCTGCTCAACACGAGTAGTAGTAGTAGTAGTCACACACAGTGGGAGGTGTGGACCGCCCTGCTCAACACGAGTAGTAGTAGTAGTAGTAGTCACACACAGTGGGAGGTGTGGACCGCCCTGCTCAACACGAGTAGTAGTAGTCACACAAAGTGGGAGGTGTGGACCGCCCTGCTCAACACGAGTAGTAGTAGTAGTAGTCATACACAGTGGGAGGTGTGGACCGCCCTGCTCAACACGAGTAGTAGTAGTAGTAGTCACACAAAGTGGGAGGTGTGGACCGCCCTGCTCAACACGAGTAGTAGTAGTAGTAGTCATACACAGTGGGAGGTGTGGACCGCCCTGCTCAACACGAGTAGTAGTGGTAGTAGTCACACACAGTGGGAGGTGTGGACCGCCCTGCTCAACACGTGTAGTAGTAGTAGTCACACACAGTGGGAGGTGTGGACCGCCCTGCTCAACACGAGTAGTAGTAGTAGTAGTCACACACAGTGGGAGGTGTGGACCGCCCTGCTCAACACGAGTAGTAGTAGTAGTAGTCACACAAAGTGGGAGGTGTGGACCGCCCTGCTCAACACGAGTAGTAGTAGTAGTCACACACAGTGGGAGGTGTGGACCGCCCTGCTCAACACGAGTAGTAGTAGTAGTAGTCACACACAGTGGGAGGTGTGGACCGCCCTGCTCAACACGAGTAGTAGTGGTAGTAGTCACACACAGTGGGAGGTGTGGACCGCCCTGCTCAACACGCCGGCGACGCGACCCCCGCCACGACAACCGACTGAGAGAGCGAAGAAATCGACGCGCTTCAAGAATATGTTGCTGCTGCTATGGATGTCCACGTGATGATGACGATGATGACGACGATGATGACGATGATGATCATGATGATGACGATTATCATGACGATATTCATGAAGATGTAAATGATGACGATGTACATGACGATGTACATGATGACGATCATCATGACGATGATGACGACGATGATGATGACGATGATGACAATGACGATGATCATGATGATGACGATGATGATGATGACAATGACGATGATCATGATGATGACGATGATGATGATGACAATGACGATGATCATGATGATGACGATGATGATGACGACGATGATCATGACGATGATGACGACGACGAGCCACTTCGTTGAGCTGCTGTCGTTCGTGATTGCCACGGTCGCTTCTGCAAGAGAGAGCTGAGTAGAAACTCAACGGGGCCCTTCCCTGGTCAAATAAAAAATTAACCCGTAAAAACAAAGTTTTTCACTATAAATCCTTAATATGCGTGGCGGCTAGAGTCCTCTCGTCCTCTGGCTTGAGATGGCTGCCACCTATGGGGCAGATGATTGCCTGCCACCATTAAGCAATTGGTAATTAAATATAAAAAATTCCTAAAAAGTGTAAAGTTATGGAAAAAAAATTTCACGAAAAAAAATTGTCACGCACAACGAGTCTGTGTGCAAAATGTCAGCTCGATTGGATCAGGGGAAGTGGGTTTAAAAACGACCGAAAGATTTGCATGGTCGTAAGCGCGCAAGCAAGCAAGCAAGTGAACTTAATATAAAGGATTAAAAAATTTGATTCGTTACGACGGCTCACATTTGAAACGCATTCACACATCGTCACAATCAAGAATACCATAAGCATTTTAATTCAACCACAAAGTCCTTTAAAAACATGAACAACAAACCATAACACTGGGTGGGTTTATCACAGTCGTGCTGCACAACGCTGCAGCAACGCGTTTGAGAATGTGCACCGCTGTGCATTGCTCGACGCCTCAACGTGCACCTAGCCTGGCACAAGCTCCGCGGTGACGTCACCGCCACCACTTAATTCATTTCCCGGAGGTCATCGCGCTGAACAGGCACGCAGCAGGTAACAACTCGGACACACCACATTGGGAGACATTTAGACATTTAAAAAAATACACGTGGCAATATTTTTGCATACGACTCGATTTGATTGCAAGTCCCATGATGAGTCTACGTGTGTTTGTGTGGGAAACGGTAGTTTGTGGCTAAAGCACAGCAAGTTGGCACAGTAGGGGGCACAGGTGGTGCATCAGCCACTCGACTCGGTCATCTCAGTCAGTCGACCCGTGGCACCTGCTGGGTCTGCCCCGTGACCTCCTGCCGGCGGGCGTTCGACACTTCACGTGGCCTCAACGTGCACCTAGCCTGGCACAGGCGTCGCGATGACGTCACCGCCACTTAGTGGCGAATGGCGGCTGTTGTTGGAGCGTTAGTTTAGCGGTAAACTCGCTGAACCACGAGCCCGGCGGCCCGAGTTCGACTCCCGTTCACGTCCAACGCCAGCGACGATTACATCTGAACCAGGTGCTGGGCCTCTCCTAGGTCGACTCGGCCGCAAATGAGTACCTGGTGCGGTGTGTAAACATCGCCACTGGGGGGAGACAAAGGCGGCCGGGCGTGGTTACTGGCCCACCCACCCCCTCGTGTGCCGCAGTGCCGGCAGCCTTCATAGGCGCTGCTGCTGCTGCTGCTACTCGCTACGAACGGCGGCCCTTGCCCCGGTGTTTTGTGCATGCGAGCGCGTAAGCGTTTCGCCTCGAACAAACAAAGAAGATGTCTACAATGTTAAAACGACTTTCAGCGGTCAGCACAAAGACAATTCACTCAATTTTCTTTCGCAAACTGCCAACGGAACCGCAGGTCTGCAACAGTCGGGAGAATAAGAGCGTGCACGTGTGTGTGCATTCGCGTGTGTGTGCGTGTGTGTGCGTGTGCATTCGATAAAACTGTGGGGGGTGTGGGGGGTTAGCGGCTTATACACTGGGAGGGGGGTCCACCCCCTGAAGCAAAAAACTAAACGTAGTTTCAGAAATCGCTAATCTACGGGAACCCACGTTGCCGCGATCGAGATGACGGTGAAGCTTTACCCTTTTAGGCAATACTACAGCAGCGCTGTGAAAGCTTTCGTGACTGCAGGGATTCATCCTCTTCGTTCTTTCGGTAAAGTCATCACGTAGCAGGGAAATAATAAAATAATAAAAATAAAACATAATAAAATACAATTCTCAAATTCCTTTGTCAAGGCGCCCTTCCTCCCCTAACCCAGCAGCTTAAATATACGCTGCCAAGCTTGGTGGTGTTCATTCAGACGCTGTCTTTCCGACAGACCTGTTCTTCACCTGAGGACGGCTGCTTGCGTTGTGGCCGAAACGTCGTGAGAACTGTATTTCATTATGTTTTATTTTTATTATTTTATTATTTCCCTTCTACGTGACTTTACCGAAAGAACCAAGAAGATACAGCAGCGCTGTTAAGATGTTTAAGCACCAAGAAGCAGAAGTCGGGATTTTCCGCGCAAATGACGGGGAAGGCCGGCCGCAGATAAATAAAAAAATCTCGGATGATCTAGAAATAACAAATTTTTCCACAGATCTCCGTGCAAAAAATACACGAATGTTGGTATAAAATAATGTTTAAGTGAAGCAAATTGAGTTTGTTAACTGAACAAGACAAAAATGTGTCGTAAAGAATGCGCCGATCTTGTTTCATTACAAAAGTCCACACAAACGCACTCGCTCACAAAATATGCAGTTTCTGCTTCAAAGTTAAGCCCAACGACGGCTGCATGTGTGTTGCGATCGAAACGTCGTCGTGTTTTAGCGCTTTTCTCTCAACCTACCTCCGTGACTTTGCCGAAAGAGCCGAAGAATATTAATTCCAGCAGTCGCGAAAGCTTTAAGTCAAGATTTGGCGTCATCTGGTCCAATACCATGTGAGACTAGGCTCTAAGAAAAGCTGTCTCGGGTGTGGACCAATCAACTTCAAGGACAGTGCATACATTATCAGAGTTCTGTTTTTTGTTTGCGTTCCGACCGCAGGTATTGTGGTCAATGCAAACATGACTCCTTGTAACAAAAGGTGTCAGTTTTGTTGCCAGATAAAAAAAACAATGATCATATTTTGCTACTGGAAAAGGAGGTTCCAATGGGGTCAAGATTTGAAGCGTCAGCATTGTCCTTGAAACCGATTGTCCCTCTAACACCAACCCCCGGCTGAAGCCTTCTTCGTCACGGACTCGTTTCACCGCCGCTTGCCGCCGCTACGAGCGGAGAAGATCGGCAGGAGGGGAACAGCCGTTGACAGGCAGCCCTTGGGGGAGGCTGCAGACCAACCAGTTTCAAGGACCACGCGTGCACACACCGCTACCAAAGCGAGTTTGGCTCGCATGTTTTACCACAACGCACGATGTGCGCGGTGAACAGAGGTCGCAACCGGGTACCCAATACCCGTACCCTACTCGATACCCGGCTACCCGTACCCGGCCGGGTACGGGTAGCCGGGTACCCGTTTGCGACCCTGGTGCGGCCGGGTACGGGTACGGGTAGGCTGTGAGTTACTGGTGAGTCACCGTTTGTCACTCATTTCCCAACGTCTTGTCTCTTCTCACAATTCAAGTTCCTAGAATCAACCCACCCGCGCCTGCAACATGGCTTCATCCCAGAGGTCGCAATCAGGTACCCGATACCCGTACCCTACCCGGCCAGGTACGGGTAGAGTACGGATACGGCCGTGTACGGGTACGGGTACCCATTTGCAATAGAGGTTTTTGGGTCAGATCGCGTTATTTATAAATGTGTCGTAACCCTCCACCACCCGACACGGCCAAACAGTAAACAAATGTCACGTTTTTCAAAGGACAAAACAATTCACTTCTTTAGCCCCAGCGGTGTGTGTTGAAGATAGAATCAACAGCATTTGAAAGTTTGAGACGCGCGACGTTTCGCTGGTAATCCCAATCAGCCTCATCGGGCAAGCCTGCTGAAGCCCTCCTGTTGCTTGCGGTCTTGAATAGAGCAGCAGCAGCAGCAGCGGCAGCAGCAGCAGCAGCGGCGGCAGCGGCGGCAGCGGCAGCAGCAGCGGCAGCAGCAGCATCAGCAGCAGCAGCAGCATCAGCAGCGGCAGCAGCAGCATCAGCAGCGGCAGCAGCATCAGCAGCAGCAGCAGCAGCAGGGTTTGCTACGTACGATGCGGTGCGAAATAAGTTCAACCTACATGCATAAAGGCTTATTATTACACTGGTCAGCAAAAAAATCATTTTTTTCTGGCCTGGACTTTTGCAGCTGTTTTAGACTAATTTCAGGGTGCTGATTCCAAATCTGATCTCAGATTTTCTCTATCACATCTCATTTTATGCTATCGGCATACCCCATTTTCATTGATTTTACCCGAAATTAACTCTGTCACTTATGATTGCAAGTTGTTGCGAGTCAGTGACTGCTTTAGTGCTAAAATATGGTGCTGTATTTTTAGGATAGTGTGTTTATAATATCATTTTACGTAGATATCCACATTTATTTAACATTTTTATTCTGCAGTTTTGATTAAAAATTCAATATTTAATATCTCAAAAACCTGATGTGATAGACAAAAACTGATGCCAGATTTGGAATCAGCACCCCAAAATAACCTTAGAACCGTTGGAATACCTTGTGCCAGAAAAAATGTGTTGACCAGTGTTCTTTTCTTCACGAAATCGATGAATCGTCCGCAGCTCAAGCAACGGAACGGAGCGCAGAGCGTCGCTGACTTTTAACCGTCGCAGCAGCGTCACCACGCCCCGTGCAGGGGACAACGAAGAGCTTCACGGCTCATCGGGTTCCTTCAAGTCTAAAACAACGATTCTGATAAAAAAAACACGAACATTTATATCCCGTGACCATTGCATAGCGACGCTGCGGTTTCTCTCACCCTCAAGGGTCACGAGTTCAAATCCTGCCCGGGGTGGATTGAGGCCCATCATCATCATCATCATGTCAATAAAATTGAGTACCGCTTTGTACGGAAGTCAAAACTGGTTGTGCAATGGGCCGGGATGTCCCCCCCCTCCCCTCCCGCCATAGGAACGTGGAACTTCCCCCGCTGCCTCTGCAGGGCTACGGGTCACCGAGGAAGTGAATGCCGCCCCAATTCCCGTTCAAAAAGGGAAATCGATCGCTCGGCAGGTCCAAGCCGGTGAGTCGCAAGCAACCTAACCGGGGGCACACGTCGGCCAATCGGAACGCGGCGTGTTTGGATTGGACGCGACTCCAACAGTCAATCAAGGAGTGCAGCACGGCGCATTCTAATTCGACGCGATCGGCCAATCGGAACTCGACACGGCGCGTTCCCATTGGCTGCGTCGAGTCGACGCGATCGGCCAATAGGAACGCGGCACGGCGCGTTCCCATTGGCTGCGTCGAGTCGACGCGAACGGCCAATCAGAACGCGGGGTTTCCTGTTGCAGCTCAGAGCTCCTCGTGCCGACGGTTGAGATCGTCGCCGTAGTTGGTGGCCTGGCTGCCCAGGAAGACGCTCCACTTGGCCAGCACCTCCTCCTTGGACAGCTTGCCGTCCTTGCCACCCGGCAAACCACAGACGGGAATCGACAGCGACGACAATCAATCTTGACGCGAGGCTTTCGTGACTGCAGGAACCCACGCCCTGTCGTTCTTTCGGTAAAGTCCACGTGGGTAGAAGATCTACAGATCATGACGGTTGCTTGCGTTGTGATCGAAACGTCGTCGTCTTTCGATGTAAAGCTTTCGTGACTGCAGGGATTCATCTTCTTGGTTCTTTCGGTAAAGTCACGTAGAAGGGAAATAATAAAATAATAA